TCCATCCATCAAATAATGAGTGTGATAGGACTTGACCTAAGCAGCTAAAGAAGGGCAGGAGACAGATGCTGTCCAGTGTAGCGAGTGATTTATTCATCATTTTTGTGACCAAGCAATATTTACAAAAATAAATAAGAAACTCAACTCCATTATTAATCAGTTCAAATAAACATAACTGAACTTAAATCAACGGAAATTAAGGTCACATGCACACAGCTACACTGACCTGATCCTTCCTCCTCGAACACCTGCGTTCATCAGCTTAAATAGTCCACTTAACCAAACAATCTCACCCCTATACTACTCCATTACATAGGTAAGACAAACATTTCCCTACTCAAACGTATACTGCTACTCTTCCCTAGCAATAAAAATCTACAGTGTAATCGATACATATTACAACAATAAATCAATTTCTACATAAACACACTCTAAAATCAACTTTATTAAATTACAAGGATTCTCCCCCTTCTTCACCTGGTCTCTTCCTGTGACCTCAGACTAACCAGGAAACTATAAATACAGGAAGTGAAGCTACATTTCCTCCTTTTGATCCTGGAGCACAGGTAGGTAAGGTGAGTTCAAGCTAGACAAATTAACAGTTTAAATAAAGAACATGTTAACTTAACAAACTTGTCAGAATTGACTTAAACCAAGATGTTACATTACATAGTCTGTAAAAGTGCAAAACGTAAGTAAGCCCGGGATAGTAGATGTTTGCCTACTACAGAATACATATGAGATATGGCTAAATCAAAACAAAAATGTTCACTGAAAATATCAAGCTTTTAACTCTGGACAAAAGGTGTTCTCACCCCCTTTGTCATAATGAGTAAACATAAAAAAGTTTGAGATTGATGTTGATACTGTTGCTATTTTTTAAACATAATTACATGTTGTTGCTCTCACTAATGCCATGTTCAATACTGAGCTAATTAGGGGTGGGGGGTGAGTTTTATTTACCCAAAAATGCAAAAATATACAAAATTAACTAACAATACAGGAGGTTTAAGAAAAAAATGCCTGATTAATAACTTAAGATAGCTCTGAACCAACTGTTAAACAAAATAAAACTGATTTAACACAAGAAAAGGAGGCGACTTTAATAATTGGCTGATCAGAACAGGGGAATGCAAATACGAACAGCAAAGAAGCACAACCAACACTTAGTTTAATAGTCACGTCAAATTAATAATAATCAACACAAGACTAAGCAAATAGGTAACTTGCAAGTCAAAGAAAATATACAACATTTAAGATAAATAATTGAACTAATCTACCCCCCACGAGAGAGCTGCATTTGGTACGACCCATTCTGCAGCTAGCTAGCTGTGCGTGCTACAAATACAACTAATATATTTTAACAAGTAAAATACATTTATCGAAAAAAAAACAAAAACGTATGCATGGGGGTTCACAACTTCACAGTTGTGTGGCTGCAGGTGCTGCAATCACAATAACATTTTCAAATCTTTGTGTCTTTATGTTATACCCACTAATAATCAGCACCCATGACCATCTCAGACTAAAATCAGGTTTAATCAGTCTGCACTCGTCAGCCGGGCCACCAGAGGTTCTTTCACTCGTTGCTCCTCAGACTGTGAATGTTTGTGAGCATTTTCTGTGGCTTCAGAGGAGATTTTACAAATCAGATCAAATAACTGCAGTGAGGATCACGTTATTGTTGCTTTTAGCTGGACATTAATACATTTCAATGCGAAGCTTGTGTTACAAATGGGTGCTAAAATGTTTGTGGTATCTATGAGGCTGGGGGAGTGAAAAATGCAGTCGAGCTGCGTTACGAGAGAGGCAGAATTCAGATTTTTAACCACCAAGGCTTAAAAGTCTTGGTACCGCAGACCTCTGCTGCTTTGTGTCTCTCTTCTCCCTCCAAATTTGTGGCAGTTCAGTGCTAAATAGCTAAAGTACCCCTTGACAGGGTCCCATGTAAATAATGGGCTGATGCCGTAATGGCAGTAAATCTACATTAGATGTCTGAATGCCTGAGATGCATCAAAATTATGGCTCAAGTTTCACAATGGATTTCCTAAACAAATGTTTTAAACTGCTGTCAACGCAGAATGTGGGTGAACAGAGGACTTTGCAACATTAGTGACCCCCGGGGGAGCTGTCACATTACAGTGGCATTAGAGCATTGCTCACCCCAAGGGCAGATGCCGCTGCCTATAGTGGAACAGTTAGGTATATTAATTTAGTTAATGTTATGGAATAAAAGCATGAAAGGATCGTAGGTGTCTTCGCCTGTATTGACGCAGTCGGTCTCTGTGCGCGCTCTCGTGACCAGCGCACGACCAAATGCAGCACTTGCACTTGTCCCGATGATCTGTCTCCACCCAGGCAATCTGCTGGCACCATGGAAGATGCCACAGCGCATTAGCAGCGCTGTGACGGCATGTGGTGGCTCAGTGTGTGAAAGCCCTCCTCAGCAAGCCCCCACAGGGCCACTGATACCCAGAGTTGCTAACAGCTTTTGACTTGCAATTAGCCAGCCAAGTTTATCAGCAGCAATAGCTGCAGGAGCTGAAGCAGTGCTGCAGCTCGAGCGTGTTTGTGTGCGCGTGTGGCCGTTTGTCTGTCCGTGACTCGAGGGTATAACGGAATACGTGTCAGGCAGATATTCTCAACGCTACACGAAGAAAGCCATGCTGTGATTAATCAAAGGTGGCCGCGGTTATTGTGTTGACTTACTTCTTTTTTTTCTTTTTTTCGGTAACTCAGTTCATCCAGATAAGGCTACACATCAACAGACAGGGCAATAACATGAATTCGGTGGTAGTCCATAAGGTCAGAACCTGCAAAATTGCATTAACTGAACCAGAGGGAAAGACTGTCATCTTAAGAAGTCCTTCCAGCACCCACCCCTCCTCCATCTCTGGCCTGTCTGCATGTGGGGAATTATATTACCCAGACCTCCTCCCAGTTATGATGAATCCCCAGCCCTGAGAAGACTGGCCAGCCCGACCTCCATTTGCGGGAGATTAGATCCTCTGATTACAATGCCAGCTACCTCCCAACTCTAGATAAATCTTCAGTGGAAGCCCAAAAGCAAAGCCCTCCAGATCCATTGCAGTTAATAATTTAGTGTTCGAAGCGGACAAGTATTTATGATAATTCAAATGGAGCGGGAGATTTTTGACTGGACAGAAAACCTAAAGAATGGTTTCAAGTTAAAAATGGCATTTGCAAAGACTTAAATTTAGAAGTGTCCACATATTGAATTCATACTCGGTGTCATTGCTGCGCCACAAATGATATCCCATAATAAGAGTGTCTCGTGAAAGCTGAAATGTGTGAATATATTTATCTATGTGCCCAAAGGTGTTATGAACTAAAGTTCATGTAAAATGTCACATTGCTGTCAGCACTCTTATTATATAAATAATGTGCTTGCCTAAAAGCTTTTCTTGGCATATTGTGTGTCTGTATAATTGTTCATAGATCATTACGATGGGAATGGGCAAGAGAGGTGGCGGGGTTGGGACGTGGCTCGAATGCACGATTTGCACTGAGCGCGCTTAGCGCTGGGTTACTTAGAAGCACTAATATGACTGCATGAAAGATGCAAATTAGATTAGAGAAAAGCATTTTGTTTACAACACTTGTCCACAGCGATGTGCCGTCGGGATCGGAAACTGCAGAGCTTCAGTCTGATGTAATCTAAGAAGCTCTCGTCTGGTCTGCTGCGTACCAACATTTTAAACATTCTGGTCATTGTTTATACATATATTTTAAAAAGTTCATTAGAAGCTGCATGGCTGTTACACAGTTGCAGTTTTTTAGTGTTCCTGTAGTTTATTTTACAAGATTCTCGGCCAGTAAAACTAAGACAAACGAATGGATACTTAAAAAGCTTCAGACACCGAAAATCCGAAAATGTAAACGTCACGCTAAAGTTACCGCTGATTTTGATTGATTGGTTTCATACTTCTGCCTCGTGCTATATTGACACTGCTTGTAAAAACATACAAAAAGGAGCAAGCCGAGCACGGCCACCTACGCTGACGCAACTACCCTCTCCAATCATCCCTGGGCTCTTTATGTGTGTTATATGTGAGAACACTGAAGCATGTGATGGTTGATGCTTCACCCCATTATTGCAGCAATGAAAAAAGCTTTTCGAGCATCACACAGCGACAAGTGTCAGGTTGTTGCTTCACATAGCAGGTTTCCACTGGAAAAGCTTCATAACCCGTCACCTTTTGCCCAAGTAGTGTGAACACAGCACAAGCATGGCAAAATCTGCTGATGCCTGGTTAGATGGGGTGAAGATTTGCAAACTCTTGAGCCTCTGAATAGAAACACTGTTCTGTGCACTGTGACAAAACAGTTTCTTTTGTAACCCCAACACCGTCTAGTCAGTGAGGATTTTGTGATATCTATCTGCAATAGAGTTAAAGCATTAAAATATCATGTTTAAAAATGTCAGTCGTCACATATCTTGTGAGAAATGGGGGTTTTATTGCGATATTCATAATCCACAGACTCACTAAAGAGTTTTCATTAGAACTATTTCTTTAATATAAGGCAGTTCCTGGATAATCCTGAAAATCCATCATCTGGAAATTGACTGTTAAGCCTGTCATTTCCTCCAAAGATCTCCTAAAAACAATTTCATCTACTCATGGTATTAGGTTAAAGGTTATAAGCAGTGAAAGGTATCTTTAAATCAAATCCTCAAAGTTAAAGCTGTGTGTATACCGCAAGTCAAACCTGTTTTTCTTGTCATTTTGCTTGGACAAAACACTTTGAGAAAAATGAAAGCAAAGATGTGAGATGAACTTTCACATCACAGTCAAATGCACAGCTGTGTATTTGCTCTGCTGGAGGCATCAACCTTGAAATGCTCAAGCATGAATTGTGGCAGTGACACCTGCATCCATACCGAGCTGTTTATCATCACACATCGCTTAGACTCTCTGCCACCGACGTGACCATTAACATATAGATAGTCTCTGACTTCTGACCGTGATCTGTCCCAGGTGTCCATGAATTGTGACTACGTGTTCGTCAATGGGAAGGAGACGCGGGGCTCCATGAATGCCAGGGTCATCTTCAGCTATGAGCACCTGAGCGCGCCGCTGGAGCTGACCGTCTGGGTTCCCAAACTTCCCCTGCAGGTTGAACTTTCTGACAACAATCTGAGCTTCATCAAAGGCTGGAGGGTCCCCATTCTGCCCGACCGCAGGTGAGCCTCAAGTCCACCCTAAAACAGATAACATGCAATGTTGGAGACATCACAGTATTCAATAGATAGGAATAGTTTCTTTGTACGCTCTATATTGTTGCTCACACATGTTTTGGTTGTTTAGAACGTATCTGTGTGTCTATATTTTGCTGTGTTGTGTCATTATAGCAATTTTACAGTGTTCCCACTATTCACACAAATCCATCCTTTTATAATTGGTAGGTCAAAAGAACATATTCATCCATTTTTCCTGCATCCTTTGTGTGGTTTCAAATTACACCGGTAGCATATCAGAAGTAGAGTGTGCTTTGAAAAGGGCCTTCTTTACCTGCTCTGTGCAGCTTTTGTGAAAATTAGACCCGTTGCTATTTTAAGGTGCACAGAGATCCACTTCTGGGATGTGTTGTGGTACATCTGGTGGAGACTCAACCTCTGTTTTGAATGGATGCGATCATCTCCTGCCGCCACTGCAGACCCAGAACAAATCATAGCCGTGACGAGTGTATTTCAGGGTTTTGTCGTTCCCTTTATGAAACTTCAGCCAGACAGGCTTCAAAGATTTTGCTCTTTTCCAATGAGAAGCACATTGTTGTTTCTTCTGTATAGTTGTATAAAAAAAAGAAAGTGTCATTTTAGGACATGATAGAAATCATGCTTCTAATTTTACCATTTAAAACTTTAAAATTTAACATGCTGAATGAGGCCTGTAGAGTCTGATTGCATGATCTAACCTTGGGGTAAAGTTTCTGGGAGCCACTCTTGGGAAGTTGTGGGATAGTGTTTAACACACATCTGAAACCTCAAGACCAAAGTGCACAAACTTTGAGGTGCTTTCACTTGCTGAAACAACAGCTAATCAAGCTGTTACTTCAAATTTTAATTCCTATAGAAGCTGTAAGGGTGATGGTAGTGGCACAGCAAAATATGATGTGTTGTGGTTCATCAGAAGTTTATCTAAATCATTTAAAGACCTGCTAAGGACCAGATGATTTTTTTTTTATTATGTCATGATGCATAAACATTACAGCTGAAACTTTCACTGCACTCTTTATACTACAACAGCAGCCACCACCGCTCATGCTCTTTCACATGAAGGTAAATTAAACACAAACTGCTCAACTGAACTGTGAACATAATGGAACAAAAACACCACAACTCAGTAAGACAGGGTAAGCACGAGAATAAATGCATGTTAACGTCTATAATTTGCTACTGCAAAACCACAATTTCTCTGATGTGCCAGATCTGAGTGCTACAGCGGCTAGTGCAATCTATAGTATGGACGTTTAATTAAATGGATTAGGTTAAATAGATTAACTTGTACTTAATCTGTTTAATTGCTATGAGCGTTTACAGTACAAAGAGTCTGGAAAATGTATAATGGTGTCCACAAAAATAAGATCTAAGATGTGGATAACAGCAGTTTTCCTTTGGTTTAAAGTTTTTTCTGCATTGACGCAAGCTGAGAAGAATTGAACGTTACATATAATAGTATGTTTGAAGGGAGTAATTTAACACCTCGTTGCTGTCTTTTCTGTTCTAAACTAAACCCTATGGGAAAAAAAAAAAAGAATAGAGCAGGAAAATATTCAGTGGAGAAAAATCTATTTTGAAAATATCTTATTTTTGTACATGATTACATGAAGACTCATTATCCAAAGTGCATGGTACCCTGCAGTCTCACACATTAGAAACTAAAAAGCTGTCCAGCCTCCATTTCTGCTATGCTGTTATTTTACGGGTAGTTGCCTGTTTTGGCCCAATTAGGTGCTCTGGCTCAGTTACACAGCAGACGTGTACCTTACAAAAAGAAGCTTTCAAGTGCAAATTGATCCACTAAGGTTTGTCATGTACGTGTCAGACCCATCTGAACCCATTTTTCACAACAGGTCCGAGACAAAGGCTTAATTTGTCTTTGAGTTAAGAACACAGAAACATTTTTTGCTCCAAATATTTCTTGTACTTCCAGGTAGATAATGATGTTTTTGGACAGTCTGTGGGAGTCATTTGGGCTGCTACTCATGGCCCAAAATGATGGTTAGAGTTGAACAGTTGTTATTATATTTCCAAGAAACTCCTTCACACCTGTGTACTTTTCCTCCAAATACCTGTGACTAAAGTACTGTGATATGGTCACCTGCACTCAATCAAGAATTGTAAGGTGTTCAGGCCAATTGCCCTTGTGTCAGTGTTATCAAAAATTGTGTCAGCAGAAAGGATCCAGCAGGCTATGAAAAACTAAACTGTTGCCTGCAAACCTTAAAAATATGACGCTTGACACGGCACCAGCTGGAGATTGAGGGTTTTGGAATCGAGACCTCTGTGAAGAATGCGGACCTAGTAAAGGAACCAAGGCTCATTTACAATATTGCAGCGCTTATATCATGCAAGAAGCAGTAGCAAACGAGCCCACAACTTCACAACAAATGTTTAATGGGAGCATTAACACTCGCACGGGTGGCTGCTGTCGTTGCTGCCGGAGTACATCACTGTAGACCAATTCCATTTCTACCAAAGCTGAATACAAATGGCATGCTTATGGGGTTGTTTGAAGAATGAAGGTATTTCAGATAATTTAGAGGACTTGGAAAACACCTTGCATAGCCTTATATTTCAAATGTGCTATGGAAGGTATCTTATTTTGACATGCAAAATGTGTCTTAAATGGCCCCCCTTAGCACCATTTATTCATTTATTTGTTGTAGGTCCAGTCTATAATAGTACAAATGCTGTGTTTGTGCTTTTATCAGTGTTGTGTGTTACGTTCCAATGGCGTTTTTGCCGTTTGTCCAGCACGCCTCACCGAGCCAGCAATCTTATGTGACGTAACTCCCATTATCGCCTTTGTTACCCACATTTTGTGAATTTCAATAGATGCAATAGTTGGTTCAAGCAAATGGCTACGGCTTTAGCAGTCTGTTTCTCTTAAGCGTGCATCTCTACAATTCTTCCAGCCCATTTTCTATGCATATAACTTCCCCTCTGACTTCATAAAAACAGTCATCAAAGACCCCTTGCGAGCCATTTGCGGTTGCTGTGATTGCCACACAGCTAGGCCAGAGGAATTCATTTCGCTGTTCCTTTTTTGCATGCTGTCATTTGGATTTACTTTCATTCTTTACTTTTTCCTGTAGTCCTGTGCCACATCAGGAAACCGCAGACAAAGGCGGCTTGCATCTTTCTTGATGGTGCCACATACGGACTGCTGAAGCTGTTAATACACACTAGAATGGCCTCCCCACAGGAGTCTGTGTTTTCAGTCATATTTCTATTGTTGAGATTGAACACATCTTTTCATGTTTGCTACGGAGCATATTGGGCTTTTTCCTGTCGTCTGATGCATATCCATATCAGCTCTCCCAGCAGCAATGACTGAATATTTAATCATGAAATATGCTGTAATTACGTGGTACCCACACCTTGAAACGAAATGCTACTTCACCGCATCAATATCTGCCCGTGTTTGCATATCTTGATGCTGTACTTCACATGTATCATCCCAGAGTGTCTATGAAGCATCTATCTGTGAATCATAATGGATTAAAGCTAGAAAAGCTGCTAAAAACCCCTTAAAAAAGGCCCATGTTTATCTCGTTGCACACATGGAAAGCTCACATACGGCCACATGGGGGTTTCAGACATTCCTCACGTTAAATGTCAAACATCTCTTTCGAAAACATCAGGTTATGCAGACGAGAGATTTTAAGCCCTGAGAGAAATGAAGCCAATGTGGAGGTGCCAAAAATTGCATTTCCTCTGATAACTACTTCAGTCTGGCTCCAGAGGTCTCTTTAGTTAATTTCCCCTTGAAGAGAGCTGTGTGGGAACTGTTTTGTGTCTACTGGACCTCTCGATGTTTGTGTTGTTATGGCTAGATATGTATAGGCTTTTCTTGTGTTTTAATTTAGTGTTACGGTTCAGCAATAAGTAGGTTTCTTGTGCCTTTTTTCCACTACTCGACTAGGTTTTTAGGGTTTTCCATTTGGTGACAGTACCTGCTACCCAGGTACTTTTAGTACCTAATTGGCCAGCTGAGGTGAGTCAAGCCAAAAATGTGATGTAAACAGACTGCATCCCACCAGTTGGCCAGGAAGTGATGTCACTGGATGAGTCATAGAAGTGACTCATTCATGAGAATCAAATGCACGATTTTTGAAACCCAGCAACAAGGGAAATGGCATCAAAACCAACACTGTGAGTGTCCAGAGTGTCCACAGCCTTTCTTTGTCTCTCTTCTTTACTCAGAGTGTGACACAAGGCCATTGAGCGAGCATCAGGTACACCATCGCCACATTGTGTTGTGTTTATGTCCCATACAAATGATTTTACGGGACTTTCTGGCTGCTTTGCTGTAACGATTCCATCCACATTGAGGTGATACTCTACTGTAATGGAAAACGACTGAAACCAAGTAGAGTCAGGTGGAGCTGAGCCAAGTAGGTACTGGAGGAAAAGAGGCACTGGTGCATTGCATCCATACAGTCTGTGGATGTAGTTTGCTAAATGATTTTGCAAGACCCAGCTGATAGTTTAACAAAAATTTGCCTCTTGAGCCTAAAAAACCCCTGAAAAAAAGCAAAACAAGATTGATTTTAGCATTTTGACCACACCAGTGCCTCAAATTGGGGGTGACAAACCATCTTTAAGAGTACTCAGTCACCTGAGTACATTAGAGGGGCAGCTCAGGTTGAGCTGTTTAGAGACAACGTTAGAGAGAAAAGGTTGAAGTGGTTTGGATGTGCAGAGGAGGGACAATGAATGTATTGGATAAAGGTTATTGAAGATGGAGCTGCCAGGCAGATGGAACAGAGAAAGACCACAGACGAGGTTCATGGATGTAGTGAAGGAGGACATGCAGAGGGTTGGTGTGATAGAAGACAGATAATCGGGAGGCAGGCTATCTGCTGTGGCGACCCCTAAAGGACACAGCTGAAAGAAGGAGGAGGAGAAGAAGAGGAAGACACTGTGTCATCGTGGAAATGTTGCTATTTGCTTTTCCC